AAAGAGTCAACGTCACCACACGCCCCAGCGAGTCCCCTGCTGGGCGTCCGCCCACGAGACGTGAACACGTATGTCCACGCAAAACCTGTACGTGAGTGTCCACAGCAGCATTATTTACAGCAGCCAAAAAGCAGAAACGACCGAAATGTCCATCGACAGACGAATGGATCGAGAAAATCCCGGGCAGCCGCATGACGGATATTGCTCTGCACGAGAGCTAAGGACGCGCTGACACGTCCTAAAACGGGAGGGACTTTACTACGTCAGGTGAAGGAAATTATGTCCATCGACAGACGAATGGATCGAGAAAATCCAACATGATGGATGTTGCTCTGCACGAGAGCTAAGGACGCGCTGACGCGTCCTAAATCGGGAGGGACTTTACTACGTCAGGTGAAGGAAACCAGCCCCGAGAGACCACGCCGTACCTGGTGCCTTTGACGTGACAGGTACAGACGAGGCAGATCAGTGAGACAGGAAGTAGATTGGAGGTTGCCTGGGGGGCGGGGGGCAGCGTCGGGGTGAGGAGTAACTGCTAACGGGTGCGGGGCCCCTTCTGGGGGGAGATGAGGATATTTTACGACGTGGTGGTGATGGCACAGCTCTGTGGATACGAACCGCACGCCCGAAATGGGTGGGTTGCGTGGGAATTACGTCTCAAAAAAACTGATTTTTTGCTTTTGAGAAAAAGAACAGAGCCCTCCTTCCCTCCTCGGCGTATACAAACGCCCGGCCGCATTTTCAAGGTCGTCTCATGTCAGCCCCACTCGGCCTGGGTGCTCAACGCTTCACCCAGCTGCTGAGCAGATGAGCCGACCTCACGAGAAAAAAAAGACGGGGCGAAGCTGCCTCTGACGGAGCCCACGTCGCGGCGGGGAACTGTGTCACCCCTCGGCCCACAGCGCGTCGGCCACCAGCCCACGAGGTGACCGCTGTCAGCAGCCTCACGCCCGGGGGCCCTCCGAGGCCCGGGGCGGGAAGACGCCGCGCTCGGGGTTACACAGTCGGACAGAGGCAGAGCCGCTCACTCGGCCGTGTCTGGCTGGCGGGACCCGTGCGACGCCGCGCTCGGGGTTAGACAGTCGGACAGAGGCAGAGCCGCTCACTCGGCCGCGTCTGGCTGGCGGGATCCGTGTGTGTCTGTTCCCGGCTCTGCACTCGGAGGTGGCACGTGGGTGGACCGTGGGAGTGGCGGTGAGGGGGTTTAAACCGGGGACAGGGGCCAGCACCACGGATCGGGCTCCCCCGGGCAGTGGGGGGCTGGGGGTGTCACTGCACAGCCCCCACTGGGCCTGCACAGGCCGGCGCGCCCCCACGCAGCACCCTTTGTGGGGCACCCACCATCGGCGGGCACGGCGGCACCTTCGCGCACGCGGCTGGGTGTGGACCAACACCCTAACCGAGCTCCTGAACTGACTCTCGCCTCCCAGGCCCAGGAAGCTGCCAACGCGCAGAGCAAGTGTGAGTTTCGCACTCGGCGAACGTGCGCGTGTGTTCACGGGCTGAACGCGGCCGCGAAGCCAAGTTGGCATCTCCTCCGAGCTCCCACGTCCTCGCGAGCCAGAACACCCCAGAAGCAGCAGGTGCAGGGGTGCCAGACGGAGCCCCGTCACTCCCCCGGGAGGCAGCCCAGGCCCCCAAGCTCCAGGTGCACACGCCTCCCACCCGTTTGACAAGCCCCCCCGCCAAGACCTTTAACAGGGCTTCACCGCCAGAGCCGGCTTTGGGCGAAGCGTGTGACAGTTCCTGCCCTTGGGGACGGGCTGCAGGATTTGTGAGGCCCGGTGCCAAATGAGACTGAGCACCTCGCTCGAAAGCGTTAAGAGCTTCAAGGTGTGACAAGGCGTGTTAAGCCAGCCCGGGGCGCTTCTGAGCCAGGGCCCCGTGTGTCTGCGTGGGCGGCAGGCCCTGGAAGCGGGCTGTGCTGCCTGCCTCCGGGTCCCCACGAGACACCCCCTGCAACGATGCTTCCCAGGCCGCCTGGGCTCCGGGGACCCCCGGGCTCCAGCCCTGACTCGACCCCCGCACAGACACGTCAGTGGGACGTCACACCGCCTCTCCATTCGGCCACGTGTTTAGGGACACAGCAACGTTCCAGCCGACGATCGCTTTACAAAGGGCAAAGAAGCTGGCACTGTGCTTTCTGCACGAGCTGCCTGTGAGAACACCCCGTGTGGTGCAAACTCGGAGGGAAGGCCTGGCCCCCAAGACCTCGCCACCTCCACCCCCAACGGGAGTGGGGAGCCAGGCGCTCGGGCGAGGGGCAGTGAGCTGCCAGGTGCCCCATCCGACCAGCCCCACCTGCCCACTTCCAGAGTGAGAGGGACGGCAAGGAGGCCCCAGACCACGGACCCTCCCCCAGCCCGGGTCTCTCTGCTTGTCCTCTGGCTCTGGAGGGGCTGCAGAGGGGGCGCTGCGCTGGGCCAGGGAAGGGGGCGGACGCGGCCACTGACCACGTCGTGGTGGGGCGGGAAGTCAAAGGTGTGCTCGTCAGCCAGCAGCTTGCCGTAGGCGTGGTCCTGGTGCGCCCGGTTCCCATAAGCCCCGTAGTAGTCGTAAGGGAGAACCTGGGAAAGGGGGCACCAGCGTCACCGTCACCAGCCTTCCCCCCACCCCCCACTCCCGCAGACATGGCTCGGTGGGCCCTGAGCTGGTCCCGGCAGAGACCAGGATAGCAAAACAGGTCTGGCCCGGCCCTCCCCAAGCTCCCCCCAGCCCGAGTGTGCTGTGGATGCTGGCGGGGTGGAGAGGTCCAGGCATTCCACAGTCACACGAATGACACCTCGGTCACCGTGGTGGTGGGGGGTCTGCGAGCCGATGGGCTGAGCCAGTTGGGGGCCCAGGAGGATGGAGAAGGAACTGGGTGTCCTTGATGTGTGGGGTGACGGGAGGCCAGGGCCACTGTCACGGCTTTCGACTCAGTGCCAAGCGGGACAAGGCCCAGGGCCGCTGGCTGGAAGGGGCTGACGGAGTGGGAGGGCCCCAGCTGCTGTTGCCATGGTGACCCGGGACCAGGCCCTGCTCTAAGCGCCCCCTCGCCCACGGAGGAGTCCCTTCCACGGACGAGGACCGAGGCACAGAGATGAGGAACGTGCCCCAGGTCGCAGGCAAGGGCCTGACGCAGCCCGGCATGAACCCGGGTGGCAGGTGGGCCCCGCGGGCTGGTTCCTCGGCTGCCACTCACCTTGGCCTCTCCTGGCCCTGCCGGCCGCGCTCAGAGACGCCCCCAGCCCCACGGTGGCGTGGCACCTCCCTCCCCCGCTCCCGACTGGCCAGCAGCCCTGGAAGCGGGTGGGCCACCCTGTCCGTCCATGCCCCCTCCATCTCCTCATGTCCCGCCCCGTCTCCTCCTTTTCACAGAGCAGAGCAGACGGGGTGCTGGCCGGGCCAGGCCACTCCGCTCCCCAGCGCCTGCTCAAGCCCCGGCCCCGGGGGCCCCTTCCCCGGAGTCTCTGAAGGGGCTCGTCTCCCCGGCCTGACAGGGTGCGGCTCCCGCGGGCCCCTAGGGCCCGGAGGGCCATCCTGCTGGATGCTGGGGACTCGGAGCCACCTAGCCACCCAGCGCCCTGGACTCCCGAGGTGGCTCCCGGGCGGCGGTGGCAGGCCTGGCCACCTTGGGTCCTGCCGAGTTCCCAGTGCCCCACCCGCCTCTTCTTGCCCGCGTTTCTGGGAAGAGGGACTTCCAGAAACAGACCCGGCCAGGATGCAGTGGGCTCTGCATCCTCCCTGCCTGCCGGTCCCGTCCCAGGGCCCCCAGCTTCTCAGCCTCAAGGGGACAGCTGCTCCACGGGATGGTCTCAGGGAGCCCCGCCTCCTCCATCCTCCCAGGAGACCCTCGTCCAGTGGGCTGCACCTCAAGGAGGCTCTGGGCTCCTGCCCTGGGGGCATGGGTCCCTACAGGCCAGCAGAAGAGGTGATGGTGTCCCAGGAGCAGGGGCCGCTCGGGAGGCCTGGCTCCCATCTCCCCTGACAACGGCCTGGAACACTCCTTGGGACGTGGGTTGCTATGGAGATGGAGGATGGGCAGGCTGGAAAGGGGACTGGCAAATATAGCAACAGGAAAGAGATTTTAATTTGTACAAATGAGGATCAAAACACGACCCCGTGCTTGGGCTTAAAGCATCACGTCGCCTGCTCCCGAGGACCCAGCCCAAGGGGTTCGCAGGAGGGTGGTTCTGATTGTCCTCTCTGAAGGCCTGGGCCCCTGGGAGGCACTGGGGGTGCTGGGGACCCCCCCCCGGAGGACACCCAGAGACCAGGATGCTGCTGTGAGATCCCAACTTACAAACGAACACACAGAATGTATAATTTTGTGCTAAATCCTCCCACTCACGTAAACTAACAGTTGCGGTTGCCCAAAATACATGAACAAAACTATGAGAAGATGCTCTAATTTCTCCTGTGAACTGGGGGGCGTAGTGTGCCGCCTGCTCCCTGTGGAACTCCAGCTTCCCCGGGGGCCCATTTGGACGATGGGAGGCCTGGCCACCCTGTGGGCGGTGAGTGACATTGTGAGGACATCTGCAGAGGAGGCGCCATGCGCTCACAGGCAGATCGACGGGCTCGGCTTCCCCACGTGCAGGATGAGTCACCCGCCCCGCAGCAGGGCAGGTCGGCTCACCGGCCGCTGAGCCGGCCGCTGACGACAGCAGAGGGCACAGCCCCTGTGGCAGGCGGCGGGGTGAGGAGGGACCCGGCGGCGGGTGCTGGGCGTGGGGCCTACTCACCGGAGCTGTGCCTTCGGGGGTGAACCACCCCGGCCGCTCCCAGCCGTGCCGCTCCTGGAACACGCAGCCTTGTGCAAGGAGCTCCTGGGCGTGGGGACGACAGGCACCCTGCACGCCGGGCCGGACACCCCCGTGCAGGGCAGAGGGCGACTGATCTGCCACTTTATACCCGAGGGAGCAGAGGGCAAAGGGGCCCTGGAGCCCAGAACCGGGGCCCAAGGCCAGGCTCCCACCCCAGGGCCCCCACCCCTGCCCAGGACTGTCGTTTATAGAACTACCTCCTGGCAAGGACCCAGGAATTTACGTGGGAGCCCGAACCCCAGTGCGGCCCGTGAAGAGGGAACCAGGATGAACGGGGTCCCAAGGGTGGGGCCCGGACCCCGCAGGGAGAGGAGGAGACGGCGGGGCTCTCGGCCACCACGCGCAGACGGAGCGAAGGGCGTCTCAGAGCCCCGACGGGCCCTCGCCAGGAGCCGGCACCGGCCTGGACCCCCAGC